GGAGTAGATTGGGTCTGGCGAAAGTAGAGTGAGTTAACTGAAACAAGTAGTATGGAGAAACTTGCTAAGTCATTTCAATTATGGTAATTTTAAGGGTTATTTTTAGCTTTATTTATCAAACATCCCCCTCCCCGCCCCGGATCCTGAATATGTTTATATAATAAATCATAATGTCCTTTAATAATCTGTAACAGCTTGAACATTTTGAAGAGAAATTAGGAATCAATTCTGCGATCGCGAAACAGCTATTGAAAACTACTGTAATTTGGACACATCAAATAGACTACTGATACACCGTTGGGGATACTTGGCAATAAAAGTTCTAGACATAAAGAGATCCTTTTATGTTTCTTCTATTGCGTATTTAGATATGCTATGCTAAAGACATCCTGTGCTTTAAATCATATGTATATGGATACAAAAAGTACAGCTCTGCATCTGCTGCTTGCCTTCTCTTGAGTGCGAGCTCTGAACGAATAAACCAAGAGCTGAATTTGGTCACTTGCGGATGCGCTCCGTTCGTAGATGGAGTGCCTTAATTTACACACCTCACCTTTTTTAGGCAGTTTATTTATATGATGGAAACGTGTGCACTTTCTTTGTCATGGTGATTTTGTTTCTCTTTTCTGCTTGATTTTTAGTGAAGAAAGGTGACAGAGTTTAATGAGTTAATAAAAAGTGGCCTTAATTAGGAAAATTGCCGTCATATTTTTCTCATATTGTGCAAGCAATTTTTAATGACTCTGGTTGCAACTTGAAGAGAGAACCCTTTTCCTATTTGCAATGATATCAAAGGGATTTTTATTATCTCCTTTGACTGGGAATAGTTACATAAATATAGCTCAAATGCGGATGTTAGTAAAGGTGCATATGGAAAATACATATGTGCATACAAGACGCACTTTTTATCATTTGTGAGCGCTTTTACAAAGAATTCCCAAAGAACTGAGAATTACTTAGATCTTTGAGACAACTTTTTTTACACCCTCACAATTGTTCACTAACAGGGAAATTAATTTTACATGTGCTAGACATAAATGTTTCAGATCCGCACTGTTAGCAGAGTTCTTTTCTTAATCTTGTGTGTTGAATTGCAGTGCTTCCTTCATTTTGTAGACAGGAGCCCTGCATTGAAATTTGACTGTATGCTCATAATTGTATTGTCAGTTCATATAGCTAACCAGAATTTACACTCGGCAGGAATAGAGAAGTGACTGAATAAACTAAACATCTCCCTAGTCGCCGTAGAAAATGCTGAATTTAGAATTAGCGGAGAGTGAGAGGGAGGGGAATAAAATGAGATAAATTGATCCTCTTAGATTTAACCTTTGTTGTTTTTTACTGCAGTCTTTTAGAAGACCTGGAGGGTTTTGTTTGTTTGTTTTTAACAGAAATGGAAGGACACTGAGGTGCTTGCTATGACGCTCAGTTTTTAGTTTTCAGAGAGGACTGCCTCTCATTTTCATAGTTATTATTTACATTGAGCAGTGTGATGAGGCGGAAATTAAAAATAGAATTAAAATGGTTCTAAAGTAGAGTCATTCACAGAGACTGTGAAGTCTAGCATATTAAATTACAATAATAAAGCTAATTATCAGCTGCTTGCTGAGATATTGAACGTTTTTAATTAAAACTAGTTTGTAGGATTCTAGCACTTTTCTTCAAGTATTTCCACCGGTTGTGCAACACTCATTACCTTTTACCCATACTTAACAGCCTTCCTGTTCTGTGCTCATTAGTATGTAGCATATTCATACGTGAAGCTAAAAGCCCATTAACAGAAAAGTTAGATTATGCCCTTTTTAGGATTAAATTATAGGTTAAACACTTTTACAAGGGCTTTCTTTACTCATCCTCTGTCTTGGTTGTTGTCTCTAACGTATCAACTTCAGTAGATGTGAGGGGCTCAGTTCCACTATGTAGGTCGAGATCCTCTGATGCAATTAGAAATGCCGCTGTATCGTAGTTTTGCAGGTAAGTGCAACTTCTGACTTAAAAAAAAAAGAATAGAAAAAAAGAATGACACAGCATATATAGCACTCCTCTCCTGTTGTTAATATGCAAATTCTGCTTTCAGATATGTTAAGTGTTGTAGGCTGTTCAATTTTAGTATTTTTTTCAGGCTGGAGTGGTTTTTGTTTTTTATTTTTTGTTTCTAACTTAATTGCATGTCTTGGGTAGATGACTCTAGGACCCATCTTAGGGTCTTTGCTTCAGTTTAGGTTGCGCAGTGGGTTGGGGTTTTCTGTTTTTTGGTTGTTGGTTTGGATTTTTGTTTGCTAAAGCTATAGTCCATATGCTTAGGAGCCAATGAGATATGCGTAAGACCACAAAATTGAGATGCGCTCTCACGCGAGTGCTCAATTAGGGCCAGCTGCTCCAGTGACCTGTGCAAGCGGTCCCTTTTCCTGCCACGGGGCTGCTTGCACAAGTAGGGGTTGCAAAATCAGCCTTCACCCTGTGGTGGCTGTGGAAGCAAGGCTGGGTTTCGCCTGCTTGTTTGCCTTATTGCAGTTAGCCCACGCTACCACGGCTGCAGAATGCACGTCCCGCTCTCATTTTGTCTTTTCAAAAGCTCCTGCAGAACCCGTATCCCTCGTAGGATGTCCTTCTCACCCCCTTCTAAACTTTCTGCAAGCTCTTTTTTTTGTTTGTTTGTTTTAATGCTTCGTGTAAAAGTGCGTGTGACCCCAGAGGGCTCTACTCAAGACAGTAGTGTTCCTGCAGGGACCCTTCTGCTTACTCAGCGAGCCTCACCTACAGATCGTCAGGAAACGTGCAGCTGGAGGTGGTGTACGTTTACTCCTTGCAGCACCAAAACTGCAGCTATATATAGCTGGAAGGCCAGCTCTGAGTTTAGGTGTGCTGGTCTAAGTCCAAAGTAACTCCACCAATGTCAAATGTCAAAACTTTTGATTGCATTTCCATGCCATAAGTGAGGTCCCATTGTGTTTTGTGTGAAACACGTGTGTTGTCCCAGAGAAGGCAGTAACTGTATAGCTAGGGAAAAAAGAAAGAAGAAAAAAGTTAGTCTTTGGCATTGGATTAGGTCAATGGCCTTATCCTGCTATCTTCTCATATCATAAACTCCAACTGTTTTCAGTGGGAGCAGGTTTATGGAAGGACTGATATGCTTATACATTTGTTTGAATTGAGAAAGCACTGTATAAATGCTAAGTGTTTGTTTTCTTGACAAGGAGGTTTACTTTTGAATTTGCATTGTAAAACAGGAGATGAAATAATAAACCAAGATTTGCAAAGAATTAATTTGCTATATTCTGAAGGATTAGAAAATCTTGACCTTGCAATGACTTCCTCCTGTTTACACCCAGAATCCTAAAAGGTCCCAGATTCACTTCTGGTTGTCATATGCAGCAGATTTAAACTGAATAGTGCTTCAGTGATTCATGGGGCCTATTTCAATATATTCTTAAGACATAACACAACTTGTATTGTAGAGAGAGTTGCAAGAAGGGAAATTAATCACGTGTAAATTTTCTTAGGGCTCAGGACAGCAATCTGGATAAACTGAATATTTAAATCCAGCCTTTCTATGAGGGCATGGTCAGTTAGGTTTTTCCTTATTTAAAACAAAATCAACATAGCCTTTCAGTTTAGTATGTGTTTACTATTAATTAGCTCAGGAGCTCAAGATGGCAACATGTGATTCTTTGCGAAGGGTTATAGTAGCTTCCTCTGCAAGCTGATAGTTGAAATGTGAAGAAGCAAACATACAGGTTTAAGTTCTATATCTGAAAAGCCTTGAAGTAGTAGTTTGGCATATTTTAAAGGAAACGCTGTAGATACTTCAACAGGAGGCAAACTTTGAAGTTATTTGCTGTCCTAAATAGAAAAAAGGTCTAGATAGCCTACGTGCTGATCTCTTTGCTGCCGTAAATGAGAGATACCCGTATGCAACATTTGGCAATGTGATTGCTTCGGTCAGCTGCCCCCCCAGCTCTTGAATTCTAACTTTGGGCTCTGAGACTTCAAGGAAAAAAAAAGGCCTAAATTAGCTGCTAACATAAATAGATGCAACTGGATTGAAGACAGTGAAGCCATACACACTTCTTAGGCTACCGGAGAGTGTGATCCTGTAGCTACAACTTAAAATGAAAAAGTGCAAAACATTGTTTTCTTGCCAAAACTGATGCTTTTTTAGAGTCTCATGTCATAAACATTTCTAATTAAGTACTTTTAGACAGAGCCTTGTGAAGAACTATTAATTTACATAACTGATATCAAATAGATACTCTGGTGCAAATCCTGGCATCTGTACCTGGGCTCGCTCTTGCTTGCCTTGAAGTCAGTGGCAAAGTTTCAAGGGAGCCCAGAGCGGAGGGGGAAAGGGAGGCAAAAAGCAGGTCATAGTTTCTGGTTCAGAAACCTACCACGCCACACTCAAATTGGTAAATTGTACTTTTAGCACTTAAAGCAAAATTTAGCGAAAACATATTGTGCCTAGGTCTGATTCGAAAACCCTTTTAACAGTCGTGGAGGCAAAAACGATGCGCTGTTGACGTCGCAGCACGGGGGGCCTGACATGTATTCTTTGCCGGCTTAGAAGCTCCCCTGAAGTTAGCTGGGCTTTCACTGGGATTTACCAGAAAGCAGAGAGTAATACCGCATTGTGGTAGAATTTTCCTCTGCGGGGGTTCTAAACATTTTAGGATGTCTTCTAATTCTGATGGATTAGGATGTTTTCTGATTCTTTTTTAATCAAAGTTGTCAGCGCTTGTGGATCTTAACGTGCATTTAGGAAGCGTACTTAATTGTTCGGAGTACTCTCGAGGAGGGGAAGAAAATCTTCCCCTCCTACTCCATGCCTCACCTTTCCATTGGCTCTATTTTTCATTTTTCATCCCTCGGGAAAGGGATCAGCTTTGCTGAATGTCCTAAAATCACCTAATTCAAGGATAAACCGTAGAGAATTCTCTTTGAGAACTGAGGGCATCTCTTTTAGGACAGGCAATCATCCTCGCACTAAGCAAGCCAGAGAAAATTCCATTAAAAGATAATAATAATCTGTACTCCAGTTTACCTCCCCATTTAAGAAATGGAAAGTGTTCACAAACAGAATTTTGTCTGCTGGCAGCCAAAAGGCAGGAAGGAGTACTCGTTAGAAGTGTGCTGCTGAAGCTGCAGAAACGCTGAACGCAAGTCTTGTTATTACCAAAGGCAGGTAAATTCAGGAATACTAGAGGAGAAGCTTGGCTTCCCGTCTTGCCGAAGCACTAGGAATAGCGAAAGGGCAGGGGAATAGTGACAGGAATAAAGTGTCCTTCGTGTATGGGATTCCCTTCTTGTGTATATTTTCTTGGGATGCTTTCTTTCTTTGGCTGGGCTTCACTGCACGCTGTGGAAAAATGTGTATTAATCAACTGATTAATAGTAGCTAGGTAACCCTCTGAGATGGTAATAGATGCACTGGCATGACCTTTTCCTGCCTTTGTGTTCAGTCAGACTTGCAGGAGAAATAAGGGACTATATACTGAGCACTTGTACCATACCCCTTCCATAAATACACCACGTTTCCAGTAACTGAACAGGCTACCAATATAGGAAAGGTGCTGGGTTTTCCCTCCTTCAAGAGAAGCTGCGTTTCCCACCGACTTCTTTATTAAAAGGGGACCTGCTGAAAGCTCTTCAGTCCCATAGGAACTGATGCAAATTGTTGGGTGGAAGGAGGCTCTTTGCATGGCTGCAATCATTTCTGAGAATTATGTATAAATGTTAAACAAATTGCTTTGTCTGGGATTAAAGTTTAAGACGAGAATAAAGCAAAACAGAGCATTGTTGAATGTGAAGTAGCGCTGTGGTACATGGGCAGGATGTTCTCTGAGAATGCAGATCTTTTTAGCAAACTGCAGAGGCAAAAGCTTGTTCCCCAGCCTATCTGTCTGCAGTCCTGCGCTCTACACTCTCTTTTTTCGCACGTCTGTGGTTGACCCGATGAGGGAAGCCTCCTCTTGCAAGGGGGGCAGCACGATATTGGATCTCAGATGTACCGACCACGTTCAGAAGCAAGCGAAGAGACCGTACAACTTTTAAGATGCATAAATACGACCACTGCTGTTACGCTTTGCCGCTGCAGTTCGCTGGGTAGCAGGCTGAAGGCTTGAAAAAAATAAATCATGCAAGTGGGGCTGAAAAAGTTAAGATAATGTTAGTACCCCTTCTGTAGGAAGCCAGGCCACATCCTCCTCTGCTTCCAACCCTCAAGCAAATACATCTTCTTTAATTCCAGGAAATCGGGTTGATGGGGGAGGTATCTCAATTATCAGGAACAGCAAAGACCCAGCTCCTCTGCTGCTCTGCGGTGAAGTCAGTCGCGCCGGCCCAAGGCACGACCCCGTATTTCACAGCTGAGCAAAGAGTTTATAGGGGCTTCCCCCCTCCCCACGCGAGGTTGCCTCAGCTGCCCACACCGCGCTTGAAGACCAGGATCAGGTTGCGCTGGGACGACCTGCTCCGGCAGCGCCTTTGTTATCCAAGGCCCTAGCAGCTGCCCGCGGCGGCCGCCCGGGAGACCTCGGGCGTGCCGGGCTGCGCTCCCAGCGCCACGTCGAATTTTATTTCTGCCCCACTAAGCCGGCGCCTGCTTCTCCCTGGTGTTTGTGGTCACTGGTAGCTCGCTCTTCAGAACATTATGTGTCGCAACAGCGGGGCTGGAGCTTCCCACTATTACTTACCAGTCTGTGGAGCCAGCCATCTGGCAGCAAAACAGGAAGGCTTGGGTTCCCTTTCCCTCCTGGGCTTGTTTCGCTATTTTAGGGAGCTCTACTTCTCCCCGCGTAGCAGAAAGCCGGTGTGGGCTGAAGGAAGGACCGGCGGACGAGCGAGGGGCCGAAGCCCTGAGGCTGCTGTTCTGCCCATCTGCTCCTGCTGGAGGTGTTTTCATTATTAATGGCGGCAGTGGCGGTTGCTGCTCAGATATGCAGCCCTGCCTGGGTAAATGAGACATTCTTCAGCAAATTGCTTCGTTTTTTGATTGCTGATTGTACGCGTGTCACCAAGCTGACTCAAGGTTCATCGATGCATGCTCAGTAAATTAGAAAGAACATAACTATGGATCAACCAAGAGAATGAATTCTGTGCCTACAATGACCCAGGGCCATTTAATTTTCTGCTTAATTTTGTTGCAGTCAGTTTGCATTTTGGGTTATTATGCCGTAGGAAATTAACAATAAATAACAAATTTGGTCCTCCTGTGCTTGTAATGATATTTTTATAAATCTTTGTAATGCTGTTTTTAAAAGGATCAAGGTCTGTGCCAGTCTGATACTCCAGCAAGTATGCGGGGAGGAAATAAAGAGAAAAATACATTATTCTTCCCAGATAATCTTATAGTTAAATAGCAAAGGGTTTTTTTTTTTCCTTTCCTCTTCTTTCTCCTCCTGTGTGTGTGGGTTTTTTTCTTTTTGTGTGTGTGTATGTGTGTGCGCTATTTTGCATTAACTTAAGGCTCTTCCTCTCTTCTCAGGTAACTTGAGGAAAATGGAAACAGATGAGGCTCAAGATATGTCCCAGGTTTCAGGTGAGGTCCTTAAGGAATATATCTGCGAAGAAAATCCTGAATTCCTGCTCATCTTTCTAGCCCAGTGTAATGTTTTTATTGTTGCCAATAAAATTGCTTTGGGTCTTTTTTAAAACCAGAGTGGGAATTGAGTTATAATTAATGATACCACTTAATATCAAGCCCAGCAGTGCATGGATTTTTTCTAAAAGGAAGTGGGTAAATAAAGAAGTCAAGGGAATATAGAAGTAGAGAAGTAATTTTGCATTCAACCTGTGGTAGTGTATCCTTGAAGCACGCTCAGGTGCACATTTACTCTCTTTCTTTTGGGAGCAAAATTCTGATTGCTGCAAAATAAATGCAGAACAAACAAAGTTCACGAGATGGGAGGGGGACAAATGCTAATTCAAAGCAAACAAACTTAATTTGCCACATAGGTCTGCTTGACTTTTTCCAAAGCTTTTGGAAAGCCTTACTTTAAACACATAAACTTTAAACTTTTTACTTTAAACATACAAAAATGCAAATTGACAAGAGTTAACTGTTTTGCCCAGGAAGATAGTATTTGGAAAAACGGTTTAAACTATAGAGAAGTTAGGTTTCTAAAATTTGCCCTATCCTAGTATAGATAGGGTTCTGCAAAGCATTACAACCTATTGGTGCTTCTATGGCAAGTTTTACTCCTTAATTTCCCTGGCAAGTGGTTCCTTAGCAAATTGGTAACGCAACTTGGCAAAGGAGTAACTATTTACACCGTTGTGCTCCAACAGTTGAAAAAGTTAGCGTTTTTCCTATTTTTCCCTAACGCGTTGACAGCTGCAACGGCCAGTGGCTTTCAGTTTTCGCTTTGAGTGTTCTGCCTGGAGCGCGCCAGCCTTGTTCAGCGAGGCCTCCTTCCGGCAGACAGGCTGGGCGGATGGCTCGCTTTCAAGAGACAGCTCTCAGGCAGTGTGGGTTCAAGACCTGGAGGCCAACTGTGAGAGATCATGAAGGTCCTGCTAGAGTGTGGGTGGCTAGGTCATGGGTTTTCCCAGAAATACGTGGACATAATTCCTTTTCTTTTTTTTTTTTTTGTTTTTCTTTCTCCCTCTCTGCTTTATAAAAATGCTGAGGAGTTTCCTCAAAAATTGGAACTGAGAACTTTTTGTGTCATCTGAAAATTGAAAATCAAAGACATTGTCTGTTTGAAAGCACAATGTAATAATGATCCTTCATGCTAACAGAAGATTTTCAGCTACTTTCAGTATAGAGAAGTCATTCCCAGTGAGTCCTGTGGAGGCATGCTGCACTCCCCTCCCCAGTTAACATTTTTGAAATTATACCGGGTTTACTTAACATCATTGTTTTGTTACAAGCTGAAACAGTTTATAAATGGAATAAACCATGTCCTACACATATGCTGGGTTTGGAGCATGTCCTCCTTTAGCAGAAAAAACAATGGGGTTTTAATCCCCCGCTCTCTTTATGGGGATGAAAACGCTGGGGATCTGCTCAAAGCGTTGAGGCACGCAGTGATCCGAGTCCAGTTGTTCTGCACGCTGCAGAGCCCCTTGCATGAGCTCCTGGGGCAGGAGCTCCGACCTCCTCTTCCTGTGTGGCAGCGCCTATTCCCCTGCACATCCACACCTAACCTCTGTGGTATTTTACAATGGCATTAATCTGACTTCCACACCTGCTGTCTCTTACCAGGGTGTTACTTATTACTTTTTTTTTTTTTTTAATGTGAGGAGGAGGAGTGTGGAAAATGTTGCCTTGAGTCAAGGAGTGGATTAGAAGGTCACACTCTTTACCACTTTTATAGTCTGCCTCTCCCCATGAGAGGGAAGATTTGCAAGAAAGTTTGCCATTGTGAATGTGTGTGCGTGTATAGATATGTTGTGTGTATATATATATTTACGTGTGCATATTTTATATATAACCACACACACACACTCACGCACTCACTTTTTTTGTAGCTCTCAGTTTTTCAGAATTGGAATCACTGTAGTACTTTACCGATGCCCTTCAGCATTTGTGGCAAATCATATTGATGAAAATAGAGCTTTCTTGTGGTAAGGGAGGATTCTCTTTTAAAAGAGTCAGAGTAAGAGGCATTTTTACCTCTGACAAAAGAGTTAGACCTGCATAAACAGATTGCAGCCAAAATTCTGCACGGACTTTTCCTAATCTAGCCTGCGACTGAGCTGCTGATATTTTAATCTGGGGCTTTCTCTGAGCGGAGTTTGTGAGTTTATTGGATTGTTAGCTGGATTTGTGAACAAAGTAGCCAAAGAACTTGCAAATTTATTTTCATTTATGTTTTGAGTTGCGTGTGAACTCAGGCTTCTGGAAACAGGATTTGGTCAGATTAGGCTCCATAGATACTGGCTCTTCAAAAACTCTTACTAGAGCTTGCAACTGTCTGAAGGTGCAGAGATGATGCCTACCTCTTCCTCATAAAGCTGGCAAATTCAGAAAGGAGTTTTCCCCCTTCTCCTCCTGGGATTCTGGATGCTGGTAGGATGCTTCCTTGCATGACAAGAGCTCTGCTATCTATTGGGAACCAGTTTAGCAGCTGCACAGTTTCAGGATTGTGGGATTGTCACGTGAGCTGGAAAACACCTTCACCCATTTCTGCTGCACTGTGGCTAATGCGCATCGGAGGTAGCTTACTATCCAAGCTAATGGATTTAGCTGGCTCGGTTCACCAGCACGTGTGACCTTTTTTTTTTTTTTTTAACTTGTAGTTTGGCAGGCAGGTGGGTTGTTTGTTTGTTCCTTGCCAGAAATAAAGTAGGTCTCCAGAAAGAGTCTTCTCAGCTCAGAAGCAGCGTTTTGCAGCCGCTTGGGTTACGCAGCTGTAGCTGACTCAAGGCGCGACAGGGGCGAGCTGGGCGTGAGCGTGAGCGATACCGGCCCCCTGTGCCCACAGGCATTCCCACTTCTGGGAGTCGAGGCTTTGCTCGCTCCCAGAGGAACTGAAATACCGTGAGACCAGCTCAGAGTTCGCACTTTTTTTTTTCTTTCTCCTGAAAGTGGTATTTCATGAGGCAGGCAGTTGCAGTTCTGAAATGAGGAGAGAGCTGACATACATTTAACCAAACGGTATCCGGCACCTATACAAGAGAATCAGAAAACGCAGATAATATCTCACTTAACAAGCAGTATTTTTCCTGCCCTTTTTTTTTTTCTCAGTTCTAGGGCCTAACAGTTAAGGAAGGTGAAAAAACGGTACAAATGTTTCCACATCTAACATAAAAAGATCCCCCTAGCACCTACCAGGCTGTGCTGCTCTCTGCGAAAGCAGGGAGAAGAGTTTTGCATTTGCCGTTCTTGCTAGATTCTGGGAATGTGTAAATGAGCGTATCCTGGGCTGCTTTATAGCACCTGAGAGTCTGGCTCCTGTCCTGGAGTGACTCTCTCTTCTTGCTCGCTTGAGGTCTGAGATTGCACTAGTGAAAATGGGACATGAATTGAGTTCTGACTTCAGGCCAGAAAATCTGTATATTGCTTTTCTTTCATAACCTCTTCAGTCACTCTAGTGTTTCCGCTCAAAGCAAGCCTCAGGCATTAGATACAACCGACATATTAGTTTGTAAAAGGATAATGATTGAAATTTCCATAAGAAACCCTGTCCTGTCTTTGTTTTTAACAGCAGTAGTGTTAGCAACGCCATTCTGACATGAAGTGAAGAGCTCTCAAATTGAAGCAACTTGAATCTTACAAACTTTGGTAGGAATAAGGGTGCACGAAACCTTACTGGGCTGGGCACTTGGTTGCCTTTCCTCATTCCTGTGCTAAATTGCTAAAGCACGGGTGAGAAAAATGAAGCATGGAGAAGCTGAGGCACTACTGGTAGGTTAGGCCTGTCTGTGACAATTTTCATATGGAAATGGCAGTGTTTGGCAATCTGAGACCATGTTTCAGAGCTTCAGTGTGAATTGGGGGAAAGTATCATATAGCCTGCATTTGAGAATACCGGCCTATATGGCTTAACCCAGGGCAAGCCGTGAATCAGTGGCAGCGCTAGAAACAAAACTTTGATACCCCAGAAGTCTTCTGCCTTCCCTCTAAAGCTCCCGTGCTTTTTCTATTTGATATGTCAGACAACTCTTTATAAGAACAAAACCAAAAAGAACAGAGGTTAGATTACACTGATTATGCCTCACTTATTTTTGAGCAAAAATGGGAACGGAATAGATCTATGGTACTTTGCTGGGTTATGTGACGTTTTAACAATTTGCCACAGTGTTTGCCACTAGCTTTTTTTCAGCTGCATCCCTTCAACCAGTTATTATTCTGGAACATGCCTGTTAGATATTAAATGGGAAACTTTTCCCTCCCTCTCCCCCTTACCATTTCTAAATTCATTGGCAAAAGTGTGTTAGTGAGATCGCGTATCTGTTAGGTTATCATTCAGTAGTGAACTTATCATAGTGTAACAATTTAGATGTAGTTAAGGCATGAAATATGAATATCATGCTCTGAATCTAAGACACAGAGCTCCACAAATATGTCTATTTTAAATCCACTATTTTTACCCTGTCTTTTTGCATGCAGGGATTTCTCTGTCATGTGCAACATGAAGAAATCAAGTGATGTGAGATGAGTCATTAAAGCTAAGTTTACTCAGTAAAATTTTCTTAACTGCAGTCTCCTTCAAAGAAAGAGGAGCAACCAGGTCTCCAGCTTCTGCAGACCTGCCCCACCAAGTCTATGGAACTACTCTGATTCATGCCATCTGGGCAAATGGCTCTTCATTTAACAAGTAGAAGATCTGTATCTGTTTAGTAAACCAAACGGTTCACCATAAACTGCCAGAGTACTGACCTACTAAAATGTTTCTGTTCCCAAAAGACCGCTTTGAATTATCTGCAAAGCATCCTACTTATCCTACTTATTGTGGGATGATTAACCACAAGTTAATAGAGTTTTGATTTTGTTTGCTATTCGTTATCTTATACCTCTGATACTATCTGTTTATGTTGATTTGTAACCGTTAAAGCGCTCAGCTTTTTAGGGTAAATGTTCTCCTGAATCTAGACTAAGTCAGAGCATAAGAACTTGCGTTTGTGTAACTGGGAGCACATCCTGAACCTTGGAACTTGCAGGTGGCTGTTAATATTAATGCTTTTTAACCAATTTTCTAAAGCTTACTGTCAAGAAAGCTGATTCTGATCACACTGCCCCTTGCCCTCAGATTAAGCTTCTGGATTTATTTTATTTATTTTTTTTTTTGAAAAGGCTGAAATAGTTCAACCAGTCTCTCATCACCCCTGCTTCCTATCCATAAGATATAGCTCAGTTTGGCAGGCTGGGACTTGCATCAGAAAAGTTGTTGGCAGTTCTCTAATTTCCTTAAATCCCATAAGGTAGTGAAGAAAACTACAGGAATAACTCTTTAACAAAAAAAAGGAAGAAGAAGAAGAAGAAAAAGAAGCTGAACAGTGCATGGCAAGAACTGTTTCAGTGAGCTTACTTCCTGCTTTTACCTTCCTCTGCTGTAAAATTCATAGTCCTTCTTTTCCCGTTATGCAGTCCACCTTTACTGTTGCACTCGCATCCAGTGGGTGTGATTTTGTTGGATTAAGAATATGCCATGGAAGATGGAACTGAGGGCTGGGAGAACCGTATTAAATCATCTAGTCCACCCCTCTGCCAGTGCAGGACTGTTCCTTAGTTATCCTCTAGCCTTCCAGCCGCCCAGTTTTAGGTGATTCATCTGACTGCTCGCACCACTCCCTTTTGGAGATTATTCCGCAGTCTGACAGATGCATCATTAAGAAATGCAGTCAACATTCCCCCAGTTTCATTCTTTGAAACCTAGATTTGTGCACTCAAACAATGCAAACGAACTACTTTGCCCCACATTTATGCTATCTTCAAATATTTGGGGGTGATCTTTGCAAGAAGATCACAGACATTGGAGGCAGTTAAGGATCTAACAGATGGAAGTTCTTTTGTTTTCAAGGACATACAAGTATATTTTTAACACTTGTGAGAATTTGAGTGCTCTATGCTGTTCTGCTGTGAAGGAGACAGCAAGGATTATCCCGGTGTAAAGGGGTTTTGGTTGCGCGCTCTTATTCCTTGCTCCTCAGGGCATGGGGAAAGCGTCGCATGGCAGGTTCCCCTTTGGCTGAGGAAGAAACCACAACTGGGGTCTGTGCAGCTGTTGTAGGTGGGAGCAGGCCTGAGTTTGCCAGGCCTCTGGAAGAGAGTGGGATGATATGAAAGGTGCCTTAAACCTACTTGTCGTTTCCTGTATGCCTGCATTTCTAGCCATGACCTGTGCATATCAGAAAGCATGGTGCTTTGCTCCATCCAGAAGGTTGGGAGGAAACTATTTTCTTATTTCTGAGTTACCTCTAGAGCAAATCCATAACTGACATCACCAGATCAGACTGTTATCACTCAAGTAAGCTATGCTGATTTTATTTTTTTCTTTTCTGGTAAATGATTTCAGAATGCATTAATGCTTGTGTGTCAACGAGGGGAATGGTCATTAGAAAAAGCACTAGTTTGCTCGGCCTTTATGCTATAAAATTACTGCCCGTGATAGTGTACTGATTGCCACAGGATGACTAATAGGTTGTAGCAGTGTCAGTTGATAAAAACTCCATTTTGGAGACAGAGATCTTATGTCAATATCACTGAGTTCAAATCGTGTCCTGGGCCTATTCTGTTCTTTGCTATTAATTCAGAGAACAGCCTTTTAGTAGTAGTATGGGAAACTAATCTCTTAGATAATTCTTTTGGTAGATAATTCTATGCAAGGCATGTTTTTGTTCTGGATGCGTGAAGTCATTTTAAAAGAAATTCTGGAAAACAAGGTACGATACTATGGGTAGGACATCTATGCTATGACTGAGAGCTAAAGCAAGAAACCTTGCTGTTTCTGGCAGTGCAATTCTTAGCAAGAGGCTTCTTTTCCTCAATGTATATTGCATTTGGCACTAAAAGAGTTCCATTAGGCTTACAACACACCACAGCACCACACTGGTTTCTTCTGCAAAATGGGTGTACTCAAGCTACTGGGGTTTGTTTCCTCTGTGCATGTAAGAGATCATAAAACCCTGGAAGTCATGCTTTGACTGACCTGTTTTAATAACATGTTTTAGGCATTCCCAGGAGCTGTAGGCACTTGATTGCCAGTAGGCACAAGAATGAGCCAAAGTTTGATCTGTGGATTTTAGTGAAGCCTGCTGAAGATAAAGAAAATTTTTGAAGTCTTTCTGTTACAACCCCAGAAAATTTGTGGGTTAGACTTTATTATGTCACTGAAGCAAAAATGGACTTGCCTTCAAGAAACATTCATAGAAGAAAGAAGAGTTTTTACAGAAGATAGCCATTTGATAGCCTTTGTAATCTCTCGATATATGTTGCCTAAACTGGATCTTCTGAGCATAGCAGCTAAAAAAATATTTGCATGCGTTACAAATATCCAAAAGGTTAAGGCTGATAACGTTGTATCCCAGCTTCAGTAAATGTAGAAGAGACGCTGCCCATGCATTCTTTTCGCAAATACAATTTCCCCTTTATTCCAGAGAAGCTTTCTTTGCAGAAAGACAGTCGGTTTTGGTCCTGCATAAGTCATACTTTTAGTAGCATTCTTAACTGACCTTTTTTTTTCTTCTTAAGTTATATTTAGTTTGTGGTTATGCTTATACAATTATTTGAAAATGAGGCTATTCTGATGACTGACTGATGCTGCTTTCTTCACTACTAGGAAAGGAAAGTCCTCCGGTTAGTGATGTCCCAGATGATGCAGATGAACCTATGCCAGTACCAGAGGACCTTTCAACTAGTACTGGAGGACAGCAGAACTCTAAGAATGAGAGAGCCTTGGGTAAGATGACTAGTCCACTCTGATAAGAAATATTAGTACTCTATAATCTTAAATAAAGTACTACATAGCTAACTGGATACGGGCAGGTCCTGTGCCTTTTCATCTCCTTTAGCACAGCATTACTCCAGTGTTCTGCACTTCTTCTGCAACCTTCTCTTTTGGAAAGGCATTTTGAAGGACAGCGAGCCTTTTCATCTCCAAAGAAGTTAGAAAGATCCTACTATTTATCTTATTTCGAAAGCGTAACTGATTGCATGAAATTTCCCCCCTGGACAGATGGCTTTCATTCTGCATAGAAAATGGAATGGAAGATTACCTTAACTCGGATTTGATAAAATTTCAGTAAACTCTTGCATATTTTTGTTCTTATTTTTGCTATTTATTCAAATGTTATCTTGAACGTTACCTGTTCTTATTTCTCTCAAAATGTCATATTAGAACATTCATGTTATTCACATGTTTTAGATTCCAATATCTGTTCTTCGTTTACCCTTTTTTTAAGTGGAAGAGTTTCAAAAAACACTTGAATTTTATTTTCCTGGGTAAGTGTCCACAATTGATCAAGTCTGTTGGCTTAAAACAAAGTATTGTTCAGACACGATTCTGCAAAATACTGTTTCTTCCTTGGAATTCCAGAATCCACACCAAGAACTAGCTATGCTGCTGGCTGTTGCACGCATTAGCTCACATATAGGCCACTAAAGAAAAGCTGAACAATGTCCTTGATGGGCATGATGTTTGTGTGCTAGCAAAGAAAAAAAAAGTATAATGACTCCCAGGATGCTGTGATTAATGCCCTATATGATAAAAATACATCAAGAGAAGAAAAGGGAGTGAATAGCTTTTCTTTAACCTGCAAATTAAAGTATTACTGATCACTTTTATGTTCCTATAGTATGAACAAGGGTTGTGGTAGAAGACTATCTACAGTAAGATTGCAAGTTACTTGAAATGGTTATAGCCTAGGGAAGTCCAATAAAGGATGGGAGGTGGGAAAGGAGGTACAAAAAGGAGAAATAACCAGATCAAGGTAATACAGCAGAGTGGTGTCAGCATTAGGAATAGAACAGACTTCCAACCCCTAGTGCTAAGTAGGAGAAAATACAGCATCTTACGCACCCTCACTTCATTCACTGCTTGATCCCGTTACCGAAAAGAGGAGTGTAAAGTTCAGCTCCTAATCTGATGAAAAAACTTAATGTTTAAAAGTGCTTTTTAATAATCTGATCACTTACCCAGTGCTTTATTTCTCAATACCAAGTTTCTTTGGCCAAAATCTTCCCTTTATTGCCTGTCTACCAACTCGGTAAAATGAGTTATGCCTCTTTTCTCCCACAATAGCTAAACCCTGCAAAATATTCAACTCTTAATTAAAAAAATCCCTTATTCAAAACCAGATAAACACACAATATTTTGCATTGAATTCATTTCACTTTGCAAATATCAGACATAATATCATAATAAGCAAATGATGAAATTTACGTTTGCTGATGATGTAATGATTCTCCTAATGAATCAATTACATATTAATATAAAGTAAATAGATATTAAAGGTTATCGCAGTAAATGACAGAGAAAATATCGTCCTTGGAATTCTAAATGCAATAAATTCCATCAGTTCTCATTAGCTTTCCTTTGTGCACCCAGCAGTAAAAGAGATTTTCCTTGTCCTGACTTCAACATCTTTTTCTGCAGCCACTCTCTTTAGCCATAGCTGTTTGGTTTAGAAGGGTCACATTGCTGTAATGAGACGTTTACCATAGTCAACAGAAGCAAAGACAATTCATTACATTCCACTTCATGGATGATCTTCACTGTAGGCGTCAACTCCAACACTTGTCTTCTTTATCTTTTCTGTAAAGCTGCCTTCACTTTCACTTCTAATACTCTTTTTTTCTAGCCCTAGGCTAACTTTCTTTTGAAATTGAAAAATTATATTCTCCTATCTTTTTGAATTGAAAAATTATATTTTCCTATTAAAAAACCCTCATGTCTGAACACATGCACGAAACATATCAAAAGGGATATGATTGCTAAGCGCGTTCTGAAGTGCTAAGAAGGATCATTATGAAATAAAAGTTTGCTAGTCGGGGACTAACCAGTGCAGTAGCAGGACATTCAAAAGAGTGGTTGGCCAACAGATAGAGCCAATAGACCCCATAGATACGTGAGATAAGAAAGGGACTGCCTTTCAATCTTAGCAGTCGTATGGCAGCGTAGATGGGCTTTGTGTTCTGTGCAATGCTGTCAACTCTAAGCCTGCCCAAAGATCTTTCTCTCACCTCTGTTTATCACAGAACTTAGGTAGAAAAGGATGAGCTTCAAAGGTAGTTGGAAGAGTGATAGGTAGGCAACTAATTACTGTAAAGACCCACACACCAACTATATATACCTCGTAGCAGGAAGATAACATGTGGCCTGTGATAACTGACAGGCGATGCGCATGAGCAGATACAACCAGGCAACGATTTTTCTCTATATGACTTTCCTAATGTCCCATTTATTTCCTTCATGCAAAGGGAATCCCCTGTGCACTTTGCTGTATTTCAGCATATGATTTGCACTGCATGCCACTTGATCTATAACACCGTGGAAGATGAGCTGTCCTCACTCCACGCGCTGAGGAGTGTTAGTTTATCTCACATATGTACTGAAGAGAGCCACTAGGCTCTGGAGCTTTTTTTTTTTTTTTAACATGTAGGGTTATGGAGGTAACAGTGAAAATTACCATTTTGTTGTATGGAAGACAGTAACTATTTGCCTCATCTTAGTAAAATTAGGTGAGAAAACTGTTGTTAGTTTTAATTGGTCTGTTAGATAGAAATGTTCAAATGACCGTTTGCTTACTCAGATTCATAGTAACACTTCATGAAACCTTTAACCTTAGCGTCAAAAGGTTAATTATCTTTTTTCATGAACTTAGCATTTTAAAGGTCAGAGATTGGGGGAAATAAGTTATTTTTAGAAAAAAAATGATAGGCTCTAGCTCCTCCTTGTGTTTTCAGAAATCTGCTTTCTTGCTTTTTCCAGCCCTAGAGTGAGAATGAAACTTGGTGCTATGGACCTGATAGAAAGAATCATTTCAAACATCTTTCCCTCCTCTGAGAATGAACCTGCAGTGGACTTTATAGGTTACACTACAAAATTCACCTGCCCAGATTTTCACTGGATGCTTTCAGTTTCTGAGTGGCTCGCTTAAAATGACCAGACAGGGTACAAAAAGCATGCTTTCAGTTGTCTCCCCAGATAGAGGCACCCAACACAGGAGATGCTTCTGACCAATGCTAAACAGGTGGGAAAAGGTCGTTTGTGGAAGTAAAGTCATCCAAAGGTTTTGGTAATACCCCAAAGCAGCACAGCAAAGCAAAGCAAAATCACAGAATCACAGAATCACAGATCGTGATTAAATCAAATCGTATTAAAAGATGTATTTTGAGTGCTGCTACATCTCTTTACTTCCTTGATCAGCTTGCCATCTTGTTAATGTAGTGACTCCCAGAACATGTTAGGCAGCTTGCTTCTGAAAACTCTTATTTATGCTGCTCTGTCCACTAGACCTTCTTCCTTCCTTGTCCTCTTCTCCACCCCCAGATTTCCGTCTTAGACTGATCTGGTACCTGTGGCTTTTCTATTATTTTTTGTTTTTCAGTCTACTCACCCACCTGCTCCATGTTGCAGGAGCTCTTTTTTCTAGAAAACACCGGGAAGGTTTTCAGACAAGGGAAGGGCTGGATTTTCACAAGTCTTTAATGCACTAGAGACTCTTTTACCATCCATATGGGTCCATGAAACTCCTAAATGTCTTTTAAAATCCTGATCTAAGTTATTTAGAAAAACACATCCCACTCAAATCCCATTCCTTTAAGACTTAGCGCTTTGTGATCTAGCTTAGACAAGCAGTCCTATTTCCTACGCTTAACGTATAACATAAAAGCTGATTTAAAGTATCTTCTGCTGATTCTCACTGCCTTCCTTCAAGTTTCAGGTTTAGTGTTATCTTCTGTGGATAATCAGTCCCGAACCCTGAACAGTGGTGGACTGTTGAGTTTAAGGTTGTTTCTGCCCTAGGACTGTGTCCAAATTCGAGCCATGTGTGCAAAGCCAAGGATTCAGCTAGGTGTAGGGCAGACCCTGCTTCCTGCAGGAAAAGTCCCTTGTTGTAGCATTTGTCTAAAAGAACAAATAGTACATTCCTTTATTCATACCTGCCCATACTCTAGCTGGCCATTGATAGGTTAAAAAAACAACAACAGAAACAACAACAACAAAGGCCAACTGAGTGTTTTTGGCCTCAGAAAGAGGCTGTGGGCCCAGGGTCTCCTCTGTACTGGCAGCTGTCTGACAAAGATGACCCTTTAGACTTCCAGCACATAAGCCATGGGTTTTTCACTGAAGAAAATTATCACCACCCTAGTCACAGATTACAGTGTAAACCTGAAATTTATAACACGTACAAATGTTCTTTCTGAGAGGAGGAGATGGGGAGAACTGACTTTTCAAAATTGGATTGAAACTGTTGGGCAACTGGCAGAAGATGCCTGGAGGTCATGCCTCCGACACAAGAGAGAGCAGGTTTATTATGAAGTTAGAAAGTATTTGTTTAAAAGAAAGAATGCTAGTATGGGGAGAGAAGTGAAAAGGAAAGAGTTTTTTGACACTTTTCTTCCCTAGTGGGAAGTGTCAAAAGGACTGATGTTACCTCTCCCCCACAACACGGTTTTTGAAGCAGAAGCCCTGGCCTGGCACCTCTGGGAACGCACCGTTGCCCTCAGATCCTGGGGTTTTCCCTAGCTGCCATAGTCATCCAGAGGTGCTAACCTGTACCAGTAAGTAGGTACTGATGCAGGCAAGCATCCTCATTCTCAGCTGCTTCAGTGCTTTATTTCCTTAAAAGGAATTCAAGCATTTGACAGCAAGGATACGAGCCTCGTTGAGGGGCCACCAGGCCAACCACAACAGCTTGCCATTACATCAGTCTGCTGCAACTCGTACATAGCAGG